CGTGGTTGTCGGCGAGATGTGGCGAAAGTGCTGACCGAGTTCGGCCGGCGGCGGGTCGATAGAGCGTCGCGAATCGCGTCAAAACTTTCCAACCCTTCCCGGCTCATCCAGCGGTCCGCGCCATCGCGATGTACCGAAAGGCATTCGCGGATCAAAACGGATTATATCCCCGGTGTCGAATGGAGGAGACATGTCCCACCCGTTGGTAGTAATTTGCGCCACCACACCCAGCGGCCACCCTTCGCCCCGACCTGGCCCAGGCGCTTTCACGGCCGTTTCCGCGAGCCGCGATGTGTTTCGGCAGAGTGTTGACGGTCGGCGAATTAGTCAATAACGTCGTGACGGTCAATCTCGCGTGGCGGAATTCCATACAGTCGCTTTACCCGCAATGTCAATGGACGTTGGTGAGAGATTGGCACATTCTGCTCCGCGGTCGCGCAAATTAGTTGCTTCGTCATCTTTTCAACGGTCGCAAACGAATTAGTTGAACAGTGCTTTTGGGAGTGCACTGCTCTCGTCAAATTTACCATTGTTCGTCAATTACACAGACTTCTATATATTATACTGGACCGCTAACTGAGGCGTTGGAAGCCGCGTCGCCATCTTTAATGTGGGCAAAAGCTCATAAGGTATACAAGGTGTCGAAATGTAGAAGTTTTAACCCTGTAACACCAACGTTGCACTAATACAACACTCACTTCATGGGCATGCTAAATTATTCTATTGATATTGCATTTATTGTCTTCACTCAATACCACTTAATACTACTTTGTTGCAGACTACTTTAGTATAGAAGTCTGTAGTTTCTAGACACCGTGGCCGGTATTCATAGTCCGTTTTTATATTTAAGATTATCTTAAGTATATTCTTCATGTGTTTTTAACCAATTGCAGAGCCGTATTGGCCTCTTAAGACAACACTTAAGATGATTTTCAGATAAGAATCGACTATGAATACCGGCCCGTGTAAATAAATTTCCTGCTCGCGGTAAAGATGGCTGCCGCTAAAAAGTGCAGCAAGTGTAAAATGAGCGGCTTCACATCTGCCATACAAATTTACTAGGAGTTAGCGTCTAGTATAATGTATAGAAGTCTCTGGTAAATTATTATTGATAATCTCAAACTTCGCACCCTATCAGCGGTAATTCAATGCGAGAACTGATCGTTAGTTTGAAACGACTGCCTTTTTCTTGACATACATTGATGGGCAGAATGGCTGCGACACGGTTTTTTTAAATGAGTTTAGAAGCGAGCATTTAGATTCAAGGTTACGTTCTAAAATCTTCTTCCCCGAGAAATTTTTATTTTACTCGATGGCCGTTCCGAGACCATTTCGAGTGTTTCCAATCTATTTCTCGAGTAAAATTTTCCCCAGAGAAAATGTTTTAGAACGTAAACCTGAATCTAAATGCGCGTTCCTGAACTCATTTTTAAAAAAGTGTCGCAACCATTCTGTCCATCGCTGTACTTGTAGTTCGGACAGGTTTTACTTTTGTTTGCTTACTCCTGCTTATTAGTAGCAATTTCTTTCCAATTCCAGCAGCGACAAGGGCTGCATGTATGTACAACACATAGCATACACGTACGTTTACATAACGTTACGTGCATACATATGTACACGTAAATTGATGAAATCGCGAACGCGATTCCTAAGAGCGGTTGCTCTTACCCACTGCATCGTATTTCACCGAGCGCGGTGGCACACTGTTCTATCGAAACAAAACCGAAATAGTGATGCCCGCGAGTATGCGAATGGGACAGAATTTTGCGCACAATCGCGAACACCCAGTCGTACCCAGTGCGAAGCTTGTAAATGGGATTAAGACGAATGGCACCTTAGTTCACCGCCGTGACGCCCGTGTCTCGGGATGCCGGGCGCATTGCTTTCATTTTGCCGAAATTACGGCGGATGTAGCGCAGATTGCGCAACGGGAAAGGGGTGTGATTAGCTATAAGAACACGGCGCGCGGTATCGCGATCGCAGTTTCGATTTTCCCGCGGCACGGATGGTGCGGATTAGCTATCGCTGCGAGAGTCTGAAATTATGACGTCGGCAGGCACGTGTAGCACACAGTGCAACATCTTGTAACTTATCTTCCTGTGCAGTATATAAAATATATCGATGATACAGCCGCCTGTAGAGGACTGATTTATTACGAGTCGAGTCGAAACTGCTTCGAAGATGAAATACTACCACTTGCAATACACGCTTGCGCTTCCGTCTCGATTCTCTTTATTTGTAATGGAAGGAACGCCGGCTCTCTCGTTTGCAATTCGATAATTCGTAGATTCATTTATTTAGGTCTCCGTACGTACGATATTTCATATGATATATCGAATTGAGGTATCCGAGTTGGAAGCGCTCTCTTTTTCAAACGTGCAAAAGTTATGAGGTTCGTGATAAACAGAACACGTGAATATATTCATGTTTCTTTTCTGTAAAATACGGTTCTGCGTTTTCCGCACGAATCATTCTATAAGATCGCAAAACAGCGACTGGTGGTTTATAAAAAAGATATATGTCGGCGTTGTTTGCATATTTACGACGGGGGAAAGTCAACGTTCCGTCGTTGCGAGGAAGCAAGAAAGAGCGCGATCGGAACGCGATACGCGCGAAAGGAAGCTTAGCGTTGCTCGATGGCGAATAAGCTGTAAAATATCGAACGCCTCGGATTGTAAAAAAAGCGGCGTTTGCATGCGGAGTTGTACTTGGTGCGCAACTCTTGCATCCATATTGATCGGATCAACGATACGATCGTCGAACGAAGTGGTTTCTACTTGACGCGGTGTACTCCACGTGCCTCGATAAAGAGACGAGAGGGCCTCCCAAACCAAAATCCCTTTCGATCGCGTTTCAGACAAGCCATCCGCACGGATTCGAGGGTTCGCTTTTCGAGAGCGCCACTTAGCGCGAGGAGATAGAATCGATTCGCAATCATTCGAATTGCCAGCCAGAAAATCAAAATGGTTTTAAAGAATTTCCCTCGACAGCTGGACCCTTTCTTCGCGCACGGTGATTGAATCGGCTTCTTACCGCCTGCGCTTCACTCCACTGTTCTTACGTTCATACGCCGCACGTTTATTTTCCGAACGGAATTCTAGATTGCGAGCGATAATTTGGAGATCCGCGATCGATTTTATTCTGGACGCTAGGAGACAGACGTGCTAAAATATTTTGCAATTTAGGAGAGACAAAAAGAATTGTACGTTTATATGCAATTAACATTATAAAAGGAAAATGTTCCGTATATTTTGGTTAAAATTTCAAACAATACAACAAAAATTTCGATTAAAACGTTTTGTTTTATTAAATATGCAGTTTAATTATACAATGATTATATAAAGAAAGATTAATCGTGCGATTTTTTTTAGTCTCTTGTTTCAATCAACTAACTGAATTTGAATGTGGCCGAAGAAAAATGTACAATTGAAACATTGTATGTGCGAATGAAGCAAAGAATAGTAAAAGAGGTGAATCAGCGAATAAATGGTTATACGTTATGTCCTTTGTTTTAAAAAATAATTTCTACGAGCTAGCATTACATTCAGAACAGTGTAATCTTTCATATTTTGCACAGTTATTTTACAGTTTTAAGTTACAAACGGGATTTTATTTCTGTCATGGAAGAGAATACAATTTTCTTTGTTACTTTCATTCTTTCGCCGCATACGTTAGTCAATAATACTGTCAATTAGCAGCAAAACTATTTTGTTGAAGAAAGGTATACTAAATGAAATAGGATTTATTTTATGATTTTTCGCATTATTCGTGGCCAGTGTAACAAACCGTTACGAATTTCATTGAGCTACAAATAAAACGATGTAGCATTTTCAGCGCCAATTTTTACTAATATTTAAAAAGTTCTTTTACCTATATCTAGAATATGAGTGATATAAAACGATTCAAATAAATTCAAATAATTGGATTTAAAATTAAAATCAGGAAAATACGAGAATATATCGATCTTACAAATAAATTTGTGATAACACATTCGCCGTAACAGCCTGTGGTTGTTCAAACTCATTATTTTATATTACTACTTTTATTTATCTTTTATTGTAGTAAAGATACCTATGGCGCACAGCCACGCCATACCATATATATTTAACAACGCGATTAAGCGATGCCGAGATTTCTGCCAGGGATACAAGCTGCCTGTATTATCGCCACAGATCGATCTACTCTGGCACGGCAGGGATTACATTTCGCGATAGCATCTGGTTAACGGCATAATTCGTGGATTCCACTTCGCGTCTTCCAAGACAAAGGTTAATAGCGTCTAACTCCTTTGACCGCAGGTATCTAATCTGACGTTGAACATGCCGTCGCAGTCGCACGCATTGCGGTTAATAGACCCCAGGATCTTCCCTGTTGGTTCACCGAGGGCGTAGGGATATATTAGGGGGGGGGGGCAGAGAATTAGTTCCCACCCATTTCTCGCGAGCAAACATCCAAGCAATTCCTGTTCATTAGCTTCATATCGGTCTCAAGAAATTTTCCTGTCACGCATCGCTCGCGTAGACGAGAAAATTTCAGCGAGAGAAACAAACGTAAACTTGCGGTAAATTGACCATCTCCATCTTAAAATACTAATTAAACTTTCGCGTAAGAAAAAATTATTATTATTCCTGACCTTTAGGATAACAGCTTTTTAATATATTAATTAAGAATAATCTTGTGAACTTAATTATAGTATAATAATTCGTGGCGTATTGTTTAGGGCCGCTTTATTTTACTTTCAGGTGCGTTATCAAGCGTACATTCCATGACATTTTATAATTTACAAATTCGCTTATACAGGCACAAACAATTTAAGTGCATCGGGAATATAGAAATGCTGCTTATTAAATTAGTAATTTATATTGTTTTTTTTCTGCACGTTCTAATTTAATTAAAGTAATTATAATATAAATAAAAATTTTTAATAATACATTTCATGCAAGTGAAGGATGCAAGCAAAATAAAATTTTACATGTAAAATAATTTTATTAGAACAATTAAATTGTCTACATGAATTATATACATACGATCATTTCAATTAAAAGTATTTAATTACATTTTTAATTGCAGTAGATCTCTGAAATATTTGAGAGGACCACTTTTATTTCCTTTTTTAATGAAGTAACAGAAAATATTCGTCTACATTTAACAATATATTTTTCTTTTTCTTTCTTTCGTTTGCTTCGACTACGTTCTTAAATTCTACATGCCCAACTCAATCACAACAATTCAAATGTGTTCGATGAGTCGCGCCGGTCGATAATCACTTCTCAAGAAGTTCAATGTATCAAAACAACTCGGCTAGAATCAATCTGTCGGTTTTTGTCGAAAAGCCATCATTGTAAGTCCGTGTGAGAACGAATGTTGTGCCACTCTTAGGCTACTTTTTCGCAGACCTCGGCTTCCGCTTCCTTCGATTCGTCATCCATATCGTCCGGCGTTGATGTATGCTTGTCGGGGAAGTACACAAGTCGAGTCAACATCGAGACAATCGACGGGATCTGCTTTTTCGCGTGGAATTTCTCATTATCCGGCACATAGGAATGATATTCAATAGCGACACGGCGATTAACGAAGGTCATTAGAGTGAGTAGATCGCGGCTGCGCCCGTGAAGGTCCAGCTCCTCGCAGAGTGCCTGTATGAACCAGGAACCCGAGTCCGGATTGCGCCACGAGTAAAAACCTGAAAGTCGTAACGCGCGGTTTATTCTTGGACTGTAGTGGATTGATTCGCTTTTCCGGTACGTAATGAGATACACTTCGCGCAGCCGAGATGCACGCGACGTTATCGATAATGGGCTCTCGGTAAAAGTGGATGCACCAGCGAATGACCCATGACCCGCGATAGTGGCAAGGCAGCGATGTGGGACAGGGTAGAAATTTAAAACTCCAGAGATAATATATGTATTGAGTATACACGTTAGCTGGTATACACGCGACGATTAACGCGTATTTGCCTTTTCTAACGCATTAAAATATGAAACGTGATTTTTTTCTCTAGGCGCTTCTAGAAAAATATGAAACCTTCGAAAGTGTAGCGACCTACGTGCAAGTAGATAAGAGCAGTTCGTATATCTTACCAACGCTTGGCTTCTAAGAGGTTTTCGGGATAAAAAGGCAACGAAATTAAAATGAATATATTGAAACTCGGAGTTGTTAAAGATAGTTCACGTCGCCGAGTTGACAGATTTGTTACGACTTTGAGATAACCCAGTCTCTAATAAAAACTTACAGCTTTCCAGGGCAATAAGTTTAAATTAATCTTAACTTTCCGCGCATACACGAGCAACCGCGTACTCCCTGCTAATTGTGTTGCGCGGAACAGATATATTTTAACCTGAAATTACAAAGTTCGGTGTTACCTTGGTATAGCACTTAAACTTCTTAGGAAAGCCGCATACATTCTACATTTAGATGGCATCGAGTCTTAGATCTCACCTAATGGGCTTGGGATTAAACAAAGTAACGTGGGATTAGGGATAGCAGCTACATTATGAAACACGATCTTTATAAAATATTTATTTAATAATTAAGATTAATAATGTTATTGAGCTGCTCAGAAAATTATTATATTATTACATTGTGTGTTTCATTTATCCAAGTTGAACAACTTGAGTTGAACAACTGAAGCCACTTGACTTGAATTATTTTAAACCCGGACTTTCTAAGTCGCGATCTCAAAAACAGTGTAGAACCAAAATGATATAAAGACAATTACAGATTCTCATGTTTAAATCGTGGTACGAGTGAAATGAAGTTAAAATTAATCATTATTAATAGTTTTTGATCTCTTACTTCCTTAATCTGCCCCTAGACTCGTTTGCATGAGCACAGAATGACGTTAATACTTGTTAGTTCAAGATTAGGTTATTCTCCTTCTATATTACTAATTAGTTTGCAATGCCTGCGATTCTCTAATCTGGGATTACTTTGCATGCGTTGTATGCAGGTATACACGGCCGGATCTTGCTGCACCGTAAACTGTTTAATTATTCCGCCTCTTATTTTGCTATTCCATTGATCTTACGCTGATAAGAGCTTATCATCGACTTTGGCTCAAACACGATGCGATCGATACGCCCGGTACATGTTTCGCAAGGATTGAATGCTACATTAGTCCAACCACATTTCACTGACGATTACTCGATCAAAGACACTTTCAGGTTGCAGAACAACCATCTATGCGCTCATTGATAAATCTTAATAATTGGACAGTTACGAGTAACGTGAAACATCGCCGTGATATAAAATTCGTTGCGTTTGAAAGGTCGTATTGTAGGTTCGAAACATATTACTCGTACAGGAAACACGTTGTTAGAATAGGCAAAAACTACATTTGCATCTACTCGCCATTCAAGAATATATAAGAGAAATCGATTTCTTGATATATTCTGACAACGTGTTCTCTTTTAATGGCGTATACAACATGCGCCAGATTCCACTGCAGCTATTTTTATCTACGAATCTTACAACTATACCAATAATGACAATTTCTCTGCAAAAATTCAAATAGCAATTGTTCTCAAAATATAAATAGTTGAAAATATACAAATCTTTTAACGAATAATCTTTATCTACAGATAACATATTATATATCATTTAACTTCAGATAGAGATTTTCCGCTTAAGAAGTTTTATCTAGAGGTTTAATTTTGAAAACATTTTATATTAAATACTAAAATGCCGTTGTTGCACCGTGTTTTTATATTAAATACTAAAATGCTGAAAAGTATCTTTATCCAACTCTTCGTATCGAGCTTAGAGTTGCCTTTTTCGAATGTTAGTTATCGAAATCGTTTAATATCATAGCTTATCGCAATAATTTGCAACTTGTAATCTCTCTTAAAGTCAGTCAATGACTTTAAGAGAGATTACAAGAGGATTACTATGACGTAATTTTGATAATCACAGGTGAACCACCCCTTCTTGTCTGTGCGAAAAAGATACTCCAATCCGATCTGATTTTATTACTCTCTTAAAGTGGTTTGCAACTGCGGTCAGTAACTATTAATTGCTTTTCAGCGATGATCCATTGATTGACTTTAAGAGAGATTACTTACCACTTCGGTGGTTTGAGAGAATCGAACGCAGTATGCGTTAAGCGCCAACAATAACAGGCGTGACGCGAAACATCTTAGTGCTACCCGGACGTACGCGTGCTCGATGACGTATTAATCATACGTTCACCCCCATAGCGAAGTGTTAAATGCACGTTCGCTATCACCATCGGTATGTTAACTACGCGCTTATCTCCTACATGGCATATTAATGACGCCTTTAGCATCGAGCCAGGTGTGTTATCCGTGAATTCAGCACCACCCACATTATTAACAATACGTCCACTTCCTACCGCATATGTAGACGACGCGCATACACGCACGTGCACTAACAAGTGATCTTCTTCCTTGGGGTATGAATAGCGTGACCATCCGCGTGCCACGCATTATTATACCGCGCCAGCTATTATCTAACCGGCTACTATACATATTTTAGTGTCGCGTGGAGAATCGACATTCTCCGTGACACGTTTGAAAAATCCGCTTATTCGTTTGCGACAATTACCATCGGAATAACTCCCAGATATTATCAAATAAATCCACTATGCAATCACGTGTATGCACGCTGGTAATAACCATTAATAATTATTCCGAAATGCGTAAATACGTCGGGATATTATTGGGAGGGGTTTTACCTGCGCCTCATTTTAATAAACTCGCGTTCGATCCGCGGATATTAATTCATTGATATCTACTGCACGCGCGCGGACGGACAGGTGTGAAAAAAGTTGCAGTTACGTGACCACCATCTGCCCTGTGTGTGTGTGTGTGAGTGTACGTATCTTCTGCTTCTATCATAAACAAATCCTATTTATCGGACTCGCTTAATACGACAGACGGGGGGGTATATCCGCAAACATCATTCCGCAGAGAGAATATACTCGCATTACATAAATTCTGTTTACCCTCCTTAATCGATAGACGTGCAAAGTAGATGTGAGCAAAGTTGCGAGCAACCGAGTAAATTTTGCGGCGTATTTCCACAAGTAAGCTGCTCGCGTGGCCGTGCAAAATCGGATTTCGAAGCAGATGATGTTAATGCATAAACAGCAGCTTCTGAATATTTTTATTAAATTCAGTGAGACGATAAGCGGCATCTCCTCTAAACTTTATTTGGGCATACACCGTGTTCACGCGTAGCATCATTTTTGAAAGAGAAACTTTCATTCAAGTTTTCACGCGAGGAATTTAATTGTAACCGATTCGCATCACGTGCAAATGTCATTTCCATAAGTGAGATACGAACGCTTTGGTACCAACGTGCTAATTTCGGCGGACGCAATTTGTGATTATCTGAACCATCTAGCTGACAATCGACAGGTATTTTTCATTAATCCAATCCCGCAGGATTGACATTGTGCGGTATGCTTTGCTGCTATGCGAAATTCTCGTCCAGCAACCTGCCAACGCATTTGTTGGTTTGCCGAGTTTCGCTGTGTCCTCTTTTTTTCTAGTTTCCCCGTTTTTCGCGAATTGTCGCGCTGCAGCTCGCGCTCACAATAAATCACCGAAACTGCAATCGTAACAAAGTTCGCGTCATTCGATCCCGAATTTAGGCGAATCTCAGTCAAGAGTTTGCAATATTTCTTTCGGAACCTTCTGTGATATCCCCACGCATATTGCCAGTGCGCAAAGATTCGCCAAGTTTGAGTTACAGTTGAGCTCCTTTCGGAATTGCGTTTAGGTCACTTCAACTTTGTCACATTAGAAATGAAAACATAAAAGTAAGCGCCTTTTAACATACAAAGAAATTCTTTATTCGAACCAAAAAGAAATGAGGAATTGAAATCAACGTGAAATAAAAAATCTTAAAACAACCTTGAATATATAATATAAATATAAATGAAAAAAGATAAAATTTTCTATTGAAATAGTTATACGAAATCTGTATCACAAAGTATGCAAAATATCTTCCTGCTAACTAGAATTTCTATATTTTATAACTTGGTTTTGTTGGATTGACACTTCTTGTAATTCATATACGTGATCAAATACAATTTTGTATATTCATATAATACCGACCGTTAATATCGTGTAAATAATTACACTTGCATATCGGCATAATTACGTTGGTCATATGTAATATAATATTGCGTAAGTGTATATTCGAATAATAAAATTTATAATTATAAAATCATTAAAGCTTGCAATAATTGTGGACTTATTACTTATTTTACAATCTTCCTGGAATTATAATTATAAATTTTATGATCGACAGAAATGCCAATGGTATCGCATTTAATTCGCCGTTATAATTATTCTGATTTAACAATTAATACTCCTGTCGGTTATCTTCTTTGTACCATAACTTTTTTCTCTTTTGTAAATAATTTAATGCATTTATAAGAGAAGAGAACGGTATGAATTTCTGATTGTTTTCTTGATTGCACTTTGTTTAAACGTATCTATTTATAGGAACAGTTGCCAAAAATAGCAATTGTTATTTTAAAAAGTGTTATAATATTTTATACTAAAATGTGTTAAATATCCTATTAATAGTCGTATTAATTTTGATCTGTAAAGTCTTAAAAGAATGATTTTCACTTGAGTGATCAAAGCAATGTGTTACGTAACACGTATCTTATTCGATTCGAGAATTGGCTAAGAGACTTAAAACAAACAATCCGGCTTTTATTCGCCGGCTAATGGGCGCATGAGAAAAATATAAAATTGGAAGAAAGAACAATGCTTCTACGTCGATCTGTGAACAGGGATGAAAGAGGAGCGAAAAAATGTATCACGACGTGAATCTTGGCCACGAACGGTCCGAATGGCTTCAAAATCGTTTGGACGAGTTTGGACGATATCCAACTTTGGATCACGGAACGTCCTGGTTTCCACAAGAATCTCTATATTTGTTTTGTATCGATATCTTAGAAAAATTAGAGGGTTATTTTCATCTCAATGCATTTTCGTTTCGTGCACCAGTAATAATGAAACAATACAACGCCGTGCATACATGCGATATTTTTTACCGTCTTTTTGGTCTTGTTTTTATTATACATCGAGAAACATACATTCGTGATAAACACGCTTGCGGCACAATTCGTGGTTTATTTCTTATTTATTCGTTATGGAATACACATTACCTTCTATATTTTTTATATAGCACAGCTGGTTTCGAGGAGGCAAATGCTGAGAAATCATTTTACACACATATTCCAAGAATTTGTTTTACACTTATATCTTATCTCCAATTATAAAATTCTTTGCATCTTTCGATAAAGATCGCCGAGAAACAAATAAAGAAGAAAAATCGTTACTTCGCTTGATTACATTTTACTAAATGTAACGCATTATGATTCCAACCTTTATTTAACAGAATTAACAACTTCGTTGTTTTTATTGATCACCTCTGGCATTTTTAATAATACAGAAAATTTTTTGCGAAAAATATTCCCTCAACCAGGGTTTGAACCTGGACTTCCCTCTAGGCGGGCGTCTCACCAATTCGACCACTGAGGCACGTATTTTTCGCAAGAAATTTTCTGTATTATTAAAAATGCCAGATATGGTCAATAAAAACATTGAAGTTGTTAATTACTGCTGGCGACATGAAGAATATTCTAGTTAGTTAACAGAATTAAGTTTGTAGTCATATGAATTCTTTAATTTAAATAATGAAGGTTTGCCACCAGTGATAGAGTCGAAGGCTTCGGAGTGGCTCTTGTGACGTTTGTCAAAATCTTGGCGAAGGAAGCCTCGCGAGGTAGAAGCGGGGAATGCTAGACGTTCGAATGTATTGTATGTTGCTGTCGTATGATATATCGAGCTATTGTAATCGTATTTAGGTTGAATGCTAGATGCAGTTCGATTCGAGACAGTATTACGAGCGCTCGTGTATCGATTTATCAGTTGACTGATTGACGTTCTCGCTAGACGCCTCGTTGTTGTGCTACGTCGGTGTGTGCACTACTGTCAACACGAATTCTCGCACTCCATTAGTAACAGCAAGTCAAATGTTTGCGCGCGAGCGGAAACCGCGTGAAAACGTACGCGTCGTATTATGCTGTCGTCGATGCTCGCGCAACGTATTCGTATTTAGAGACCTTTTTGGCAAGTAATTTCCAGTCGTCTTAAACACACGAGGATGCGTGACTGCATCTCTGGAAACTGCAGCTTCGAGAGCGGTCGTGCCATTAAGATTCTACTGAGATTTGGTGTAAGCTCGTCCCGTAGAGTAGACTCTCGAGAATTTGTACCCGGAGAAATCCTTGGCTGTCATGTCGAATTACGCACGAGAAATTGTAAATAGAGCGAGGCAATCAAACACACAATGTTCGGTATAATAATTGGAAATTTCAAAGAACAGCTGGCTCGTATCGGAGGTATTGAGTTGCAAATAATATTGGTTTACATTCATTAACGAGTTCCGATCAGCGTGGAAGCAGACCGTCAGGAGGCAAGATGTAATTGAGGAATTGGCGTAGATTACCTATACATCATACGGGTGTACCGTTCGTGAAGCCTGCATTATTCAGAATAAGCAGCTTATGACACTATAGAATCTCGGACGTGTACCAGAAGAAGAAGCTTAATTCGCATTCGCCATATCCGTTTATTGTTTAGTAATCGAGTATATATCTCGTTAATTCTTGATATCTTCCGCTCGGCGAAGTACGAAAACTGGCACTGAAATGCATTTCAATGCAATTATCGTCGGGAATTTGAGCGCCGTCAGGCGCTTCAGGGAGGTATCGCGCACGAGCACAAAGCGCAGTAAGAAATATAAATGAGGATGCGAGGGAATGATACGTAACAAGCGAGCAAAAGGTATCTCGATGTAACGCGTCAAATGTAAAGGTAGATTCTTTTCAATAGACGAACGAACTCGAACGAAAAGACACCTCGTAACTCTTCATATTTTACTTAACAGTATTCAAGTGTAAATTTTCGCGTCGCAACCAGATCTTAAATTGGGTACTTTTTCGTACTTTTCTACCGGAAATGCGATGCTGTATAAACGAAGCCGATTCATTTTCGAAGTAGGAATGATTCCACGGGGAAATGTTGCATGCTCTCTTTGTTGGCTTTCATGTCCAACTTGACAGATTGCACAATTTCGTTTTACGTATATGAGTTCGACGAATGTGATCTATCGTCTATCTTTCCAAATGTTCCCAATATGTCTGTGTTACACGTACTAATGATGGTTACCCAAAGGCTTGAAATTTGAGTAAACATCCTCATTAGCGAGTACCGTGTACGAGACCACTCATTATTAGCGTAGCTTCATTCAAGCGGTAAGCATCATTATTTTTTCAACCGCTCTCTTATTATCCGGATTATATAATACGTATAACACTATATATATACTATATATATTGACACTTGCAGTTATAATATGTAAGGAATAATGGCATAAAGCAGAAGCTATCTCGTATCGATCTATTTGTAATTACTATTGAAGCGTAGTTTATTTTTTACTAGCAGAGAGAAAAGAATGAAAAGTACAAATCGTCGCTTTCCATGATTTCATATCGCGAACAAAAGTTATTTTGAATATACATCAACACATATTATGTATCTAATTTATTGTCTATTGTCTGTATCTGTTTTTTTTTATTATTTTGGGGAAAGTTTGAGTACATCTCCGCTAGAGACCCTGTAATTAGAGACTGGCCATAAGGGAGTTCGTCAAATTCCTGCGAGTGAGAGGGAAACAAAGGCTGTCTCACGATTCTACGATCGTAGAAAAGTGAGACAGCCTTTGTTTCCCTCTCACTCGAATTTGACGAACTCCCTTATGGTCAGTCTCTGATTACAGGGTTTCTAGTCTCCGCTATATTCTGATATACCTATGCGTGTATATGCTACTCTATAGTGTAAATAGTTCATTCAACTTGATTGCTTACAAATCACGATAATCCCATTCGCGTAATTATAATTCCTTGTCGCCAAAGTTTCAAACAGATATCAGGAATACTTGCTTTGCTCGAGTAAATTGAATAGGAAAGCATGTCGGAAAATATATAGTCCTCGACTGGATTATCCGCGCGCGACATTCCTATAACTCTTCGTCACATCGTCCTGGAGCGTCGCTTTCGTTCAGATTCCCTGCATTATCTTGGGACGGGTCGTTCCGAAGTGGAGCTTACGCGTGCATTTATGCGCGATGGGAGTTACTCGATGTATCTGTTCGTATAAAGCGAATCAGAGTTATCGCACGCTCTTCCCGTCTAATTTCTAGACTTGTATACAAATCAATGAAACAAAACCAATGCTGTTCAAAGAAAATTGTGAAACGAAACTATAAAGCGTGTTGGGACAAGGTAATAGGGTATAGAATACTTTTCGTAAACATGAAAAAGAATTGGATGATGTAATCTTTTGCTCGCTTATCGCATGCAACGAGTATAGAAGCAAATGAGTATCGCCGTAACTACAAGTCTCTTTTAGCTTAAATAAATAAATGATTCAATTTTTTTTATCTAATGATTAAGCATTGATCAAAAATTCACTTTATCAAATTCAGTCTTTTCAGATCTGAATTCTTTTATAAATTCTGTTTGCACACACGTGCTAATAGTAGAGGAAAGTCCCCTATTATGAGTTAGGCTTCTAATATGAGATAGCGGGTTTTCAACCTTAAAATTTAATCCCAAGTCTTTATTCACACGATTACACGATCTAACAATGAACTTTGCACTAAACAGATTTCACTCCAAGCGCAATAAATTAACGATGAAACCAATAGATGATGCCTATTAATTTAGCAAAAACCCTGTTATCTCATATTAAGGGGTTATCTTATAATAGGGGACTTTCCTCTATAATTCTACTCTTTGAACGCGTCCTTTTAATCTTTAACTTTCATCGTTCGGCAAAGTATAGGTAATACCAGCATTTACGCTGGAAACTTTTCGTCCAATAGTTTTTTTGTATTTACAAATTCGAAAAATGGATAAAAATTCTATAGCTTCCTGTAGGATTGCAACATTACGTATACGCCTGTACGTACCGTCGTAAGTAGAGTACGCGACCATGATATCTGCATAGGCGGGTATACTGTATGTAGTTCCCTTACTATCTGTCTCATGAATAATTTTCACCCCTTTGTCCAGTCGCACCCCACGGCATGCCTGAGGAAAAGAAAAATGTGCGCGTGAGCGACGATACTAGATTTTCCCGGCACGTAAAAGATGCATGGGATCCGCGAGATTTCCTCCATGCAAAAGCGTCCCGCGAATTGTTTAAAACGCTTCAACGTGGCGTCGTAATCCGATTCGCGAGATTATTAAAGCACTCACGAAACAGGGGACATGCAGTGTCTACGTGTACGACCCCCAATCGGCGAGCAATAATACAAGTCTGAATTTGGCTACGTTAATGTAATTCTTCAAAATGCCAAATATGTATGTATAGACATGTATAGACATGTATAGACACGTACACACCTGCACACGTATATGTGAAATCGAATAACCTATCTTTTTAGAATCTTGTACGGGAAAATCAGTATGCAACATGAGCCATTATTAACTATTCAATTACATAAATATGAAACTACGTAAATATGAGAAAGAGTCGCAACGATGCTGATATTATAAAACATTGAACTCTTCGATAGTGATATTCAATCCGTAATCGTAATATTATCAACAAAATATCGGACTCAATGAACTGTTAGATTATCAATTTCAATACCTCCCGTTTTGACTTTTAAATCGATGACACGTTCAATCGCGTGTAATAAAACAATTAATTAATCCTTATTTTGGCAATCCGTTCTTCTAACGTGAGCGAGTGTTGTTTATGGAATGCCGATTTTTCCGATATTTTTGCCTGACACGTGTAACGTTTCAATTATTAAATTAATTTTCTATGAGAGACTTATTTGATTATTTCAGATTTAAATAACCGATAGCGGTGTTTTCGTGTTATTTTGTATTAATAAATAACAATGGATATTGTATTAATGCCAATGGCTTCAGAAAAGTCGAGAAGCAACAGCTTCTGGATTCAGTGAATCTTGTTTCCTCTGATAAAAAGTATACTCCATTTTACAGCAGAAACGGCCGCTCGACCGTACATTAAAGAACTAAGTATTGAATGGCCGAGTGCTGCAATTACTTTTCTTTGGAACGGCAAACTGATAATAGAATATACGAGACAATTACACGCAGATCTATCGACGTTTACAGCGTCGTTAACGAAAGACGAGAGGCTCGAACCGAAGCGCAGCAAGAAATATGGAGTTTACTTTAGGCTGCCGTGGCTGCACACAGCTTTCAAATGTATAATACAGAAAATGGCGTTAGTTTCGATAGATAACGCAGCCCGAATCTGTACGTCCATACAATTTACATCGGCTCGCAAATTGCAATAATCTTGTCTACGCGCGCGTATAATTCCTACATTATAACTCTCCATCACGTCTCCATCACGTGAAAATTTCACTGGTATCGGACAAGTCATTAACTCGCAATTGATTATAGCCGCGTTTACACAGGAACATAGAATCGATTGTATGTTTACATGTTCCGAGAGAGCACACTTGTCTGGATTTGCTTTGAAAATCCAGCCGGTTCGACAGTTTGGCGTGGCTCTAAGATAATTGAGTCTTGCAATTATTATCCGTTTGGATGTTTGAATGCAGGCGCGCGCATTCGAGGCACGAGACCAAATTATTAATCATTTCGATCGTTACGAGCGCCAACTTTATCGCGCTCATTTATCCCCGTCGCGCTTTATCTTTGGGATCATCGATCCTCTAACTCTATTTGGGACGAAAGCAGTAATTTCGAAAGATACCCGGCAAGTTGGCCTTCCGGTCCTTTTTCTTTCGTGGCAAAGTAAATTACAATCGTTGTCGGAATAGTTGTTCCTGATGGATCGTCCCCGTGTTGTCTCTGCGATTTTTCGGCCTCTGACGCACCAATCGGTGATCTTTAACGATCGGAAGCTATACGTGAGCAATTTTAATATTAAATCATTAATTTCACTTTATATCAATTTTAAAATCACAGCCGGAAACGATCCGTCGCTTCTCTCTGATGTTTCATAAAACATTTCTGTCGCGTTCGGTTTTTTTTTTCGAGAAAATTGGATTGCTTCATACGTATAATTTTAATGTCATATAATTGTAAACGTTATAATAATCAGATACACGTCGCCTCGGGTAACTGTGACTGTATACATTTATTGCTCATGTTTCACAATGAAATTATATCACGTATATCTTCTTTTCTGTCACTTGAATATGTATACGCGCATACAAATGTCACCCGCGAATATAAGAGCGATAATAACGTGCCTAGAAGAACGCGTGTTTCCACGTTTCCCCGCCGTTTAAAATATTCGAGCATTCGGCCGACTAAACATTTGCACATCGAGCGGCGCGGAAAGCGAGCATGACGGAAATACTCGCGGACAAAAAATAAAGGAAAGGAGAGAAAAAATGAAAAAAGAGGGGAAAAACAAATGTATAGAATATTGCGCGACACGAATGGCCCCGCCCGGCACTTTTTTAATTCGGCCGGTGGCGAAATCCCCGAAACGATGCACGCGCTCGCATTACTTTGGGAATTATGCAAATAACAGTTTTTGCCGCCGTTCTCTTTCTCCGGCGGGGATGGACGGGAAGTAATCTTAATTACTGCTGCGTTTCTAGCGCGCGAACAGTTTCCATTACATCGCAGAATGCACATATTTCATTGGCTGCGCCTGCTAAAAACCCGATGGTGCACTAATGTGCGCGAGCCCGCAAATCCCTCGGAGATCGTTGTGAGGCAGATAAATGGGGGGTGTCTCTAAATGGAAAGCGATCTCGGTAGGATTATGCGCGGGGAAAGAATTAGATCTAGCGCGGCATTGTTGTTGGAATTACAACGCGGCTGCGTCAACCCGATCGTTCCTGAAATGCGGATGATCGTCGCAATTATCCGCCATCTCCCCGTTGCGGCGCGAAAGGGATCCTATTTACAGTTGACTCCCTCTTTCTCGTAACTTTCGCGGAGTGGCCATCCGTTTTGGTATCATCGTGCTCTCGTCGTCATCCGTTCCCATCCGTTAGAACGCAATTACAGAAATTCAGAAGAAAACTTTGCGGTGAAAAATACGCGGATAATGGATATCGATGACGAATGTTCGCCTTATATGGAAGAATTAGATACGGAGAAGCGCAAAAGTTATATCATTCAGTAAAGTAGCAGCTTAGTAACGCCAGTCAAGAAACGAAGAATAAAATAAGTATGGAAACGAGCTTACTGGCAATTCTTTATTATAATAAAACACAATTATTCTGTTTTCTAACGTCGACGACAAGACACATTGTACAACGAAATTTCTGACTTCTAACTTAATTTTCACACCTCTAATCTGACGAATCTTACATATGTAGGCACTCTTGTAAGTTTGTTACCTGAAGACCAGCATTACTGGCCGAAACGCTGTGTTTTATTATAATAAAGAATTGCCAGTAAGGTGGTTTCCATACTTATTATAATTCTTTATATTATTCAGATATCTCTCCCGACTTTGAACGGCGAGTCAACCAAAATCAGGGGTTATCAAGTATAATCAAATATTTCGATATTGTTAATTAAGATATATGTATGCACACGCACGTATGATCTAAATTTTATTTGGAATAGACGATACGGGGTAAAACAAATAGCGATAGTCCTCGGACACGGTATGCCAAATTTTGTAAGGTAATGTAATGATTTTTTTCGCTTTTCCAATCAAGGTAACCGACATGGATATCGCTCTTGCTGTTACGTTACGTTACGAACGCACGGAATATGCAATCGCATTTAACTAAATTTATATCTGCCGCGCAAGAATATTGTATATCAAAACCAACCGGAAAACGTAATAATCTTTTTTTTTCGCTCTCGCGTTTCGTTCGTCTCTCTAACGTTATTAAAACACGGCTAGATTTTCGTAAAAACCCAAATGTGGGCAATGCAAAAATCATAGGAATGATTCCACGCGGTACGCGTTCTTCATCGCAAATAACTTATCTGAAGGTAATTTCTAAAATCGTAATCTAAAATAATGTGCACCGAATTTCAACACGTGCACGAAAACATTTATACTGTATAATTGAAATAATTTCAATCAAGATACGATTATGGCGGAAGTATTTGTACGAATAAAGGAGATTTCGATATCTTTGCCAGCCATTTCGTCAAAGGTAAACTATGGAAGGGAAGGTACCCAAGCACGAGAGCCGGCTCTTATCCTGGAAAGCACAATTAACTTCAACACCAGGCCATACAATAGCTTATATTAACCCATAAATCACTTCACATGATCCGTATAAATCTCTCGCGAATTACTCAGCATGTAACATCGCTTAGACAGTTCACTCGGGATGATCCATCACTTGGGCGATCGTCCGGAGTGAGCGAAAGTGGAAAGTGGCTTCTCTTCTTTAAGCGCGGAACCGCTCATTGTTCGCCGAACGCGCGGATAGCGTGCGTACGATTCATCCGCTCGATTCTTGTACGCGGCGAATATCTGCTAGACAGACGTATACCTGAATGAAGAACAACTTCGGTTTCCCGACCAGGCTGGAGCATCGATCGCCCGTAAAGGGAGTCCACAGCATTTCGACTGGATACAGACTGTCGGTCGAATGCAATAGACCCGATTCGCCGTGTGACATTGCGACCACGATCAGGCAGTCGGCATCCGTGTGGTCTTCCGCAGCGGCTTTAATGAAAGGATTAATTAATTCCTCGCGGTGGCCGCTAATAGTCGTCGGACGCGGTCTAGCCTAATAGCCTGTGCACAAACAAACTGCGCCGAGGTGAGATTGTGCAGATACTGTTCGCTGCATCGCGAATTTCCTCCGGCAACTCGAAAACGGTACGAGCGGCTGTACGTGCAGCTTCCGGGTTTGCGCGACGCGGCATTAAGGAATTAAATGAAGTTTCCTCCAAGTAAAATTGCGCCAAGTAATTTATTATTAAGGCACTCTAGACAAGTTGTAACTGTGGATCACGGGGCGCTAAGAATTGTACGTGGCTCTTTTTACGATGTACATTTCGAAAGGTAAATGAGTTTTCCCGAAATGCTACATGAGAAGTTAAATCGAGAGCGTTAAAACAAAGCATTTTATTTAGATGACGTGCCGTTACAAGTGAAATGCCTTTGTCTCTTGAAAATAGGCAAAAAAGAACGGTATACAGAATCGTCTCAGCAATCATAAAACGAATTGCTTGCATGGAACGGGAATGTAGGTCGTACGGTCCGTTTCGTTTGTAGAGAACGTGAAAATAATCAGTCTTTTTTCCGATTTCGATTAAATTGGCCCTGCACTTTTGAATCTTACATTTTTATGGTAGGAGATTAAAATTACAAATAGACATACGTATTTACTTTATAATAAATGCAGGTATTTTCGTCGCTTATATGTCGCCTGTGTCAACATTTTCAATATACAAAATTAATTATGTGGGTATTCATCGTAGCTCCACGATCTTCGTGAAATTTTAATAGAATCGCATCAAATATCGAATCAGATATCGCATTTTTGTCGAAACTAACAACGTCGATTAGTGTGCGTGATATTCGCGGTTTTAATAAAAAGATTAATTAATTCCGTATCTAATTGTAAGATAACAATATTGCAGACTGCCGTAATACGTTATGATGTTCACAGCAGGTATCAGTAATTACAGCGCTGCGGTTGTTATTTTACCAGAGCAAAATAATGGCAAACCGTGTAAAAGGAGCAATATTTTTCTTTCCATGTTGTCGGGAGGAAAAAATGTAAAACTAAGCGTAAACAATAGAAAACTTGGTGGATACGCGTAAAAAATTCTTTTTACGTCGCCGTATGCACGTACTGTGCCTGCATTACCGTGCAGTATCGTGAATGTGTAATATTTTCAGATATTGCCGTTTTTACTATTTCCATGTTTCCATTGTTTTATCAATCTCGTTTGTTGTTACGACTATTCTATTTTCGTAGGTGTTTGTACGGTTTTTTTTATCATGACGGGATTCTTTTCATCCGCTCACTTTACTCCTTTTCTTATCACAACTAGATCTTATTTATACGTGAGATTCACGTATCTCCGAATCTCATAGCGGAACCGTGAAAATATGTCTATAAATATCGCCTAATATGAAATTTCACGATTTGAACAGAGTTGTGCGACAAAAGAAAGCACACCGTTCATTGGCAATAATACATTGGATCATGCCAGTGTCTTATGCCTCTTTCTTTTACCAATTATTATCCTTTACCAGAGAGAACAAATGCTTTAAATTGAAGATAAAAAATGGTAAAATGTAGTTATTCTAAGTATTACTTTACGAAAGTTTATCCACGGGAATTTAATCCTGTCTCCATTTTTCTGAAAATCCCAGGATTTGCGAGTGTACTCTCTTCTATTTCCGCCTCGTCTGCGCTCTTTCCTTTTCTCCCTCTTTCTCTTTCCTCTTCTTACGAAGCATTCTCGTAAGCACTATTTGCTTTTTTCCCGCCGTTGGAAATTAACGAATGAAATTTGTGGATGATAAAATTATTGAATATTTTGATCGCGAATCTTTCTTCGCTGATACACGTGGTGTATCCCAAAAGGGCTCTTCTTATCCCTTCACAACAAACATCGAAATTATTATGCCCAACGACGGTCGATAATCCAATTAATCCGTACTGCCTCGGCCCGGCAATGCCGCGGCACTGGTGTAATTAAGGAGCCGGCTATAAAGTGTACAAAAGGCACGGGAGCTGCAAAATCGACATGCGGCATATTCAGCTCGCAAGTTACATGTGATGTACAGGTAGGAAAATGTGTTGCAAAAAAACTTTGCGTGATTACGTGAAACGACGTTGCCGTTTGCGCTCTGTTTCCTCGGAGGGACGCGTTTCCCTCTGAATGTGCCGTGGACCGTAATGGAAATTTACTTTGGCTCCTCATGTTCGCGTTTGAAGAAGAAAAAGTATCTTATATCATGTGAAGAAATCATCGCAGTACCGTCCCGCACATGTAACGATCGTATAGTTACCATTGGCTTAATGTCGCGAGATATAAAAAAATTCAAGTAAAATACCTCCCTTACGTTAGGTAATTATCTGATGTTATCTCGCGACCGTACCGTTGTTTCCCCCGTGTTCGTTAGCTACCCTCTACCCTTTGCTTATTTTTACTTGGGGAGGGAAAAGAAAAATTTATAATAAACTGGTCGATAAACTTCATTATCGCAATCTATATCTCAATTTATATTTCTTGTCCATCGACTCTTTTCAACGGTTTTAAATTCATGATACCCTTGTGATTTCTTCAAAATGATACATTTAGGAAGTAAAGATCAATTATTGTGATGTCGAGATTAGAAAAAATGCGTTGAAACTTTATATTTTTTACAAAAAATTTCTTCAAAATTCGATTAGCTATGATATAATAATTGCAATAATAATAATAATCTTTATTGGTAATGCACAAAATTAATAAGTTTCATAATCACAAGAGACGTAGCGATCACAGAATTACAGGAATTGTACAAACTACGTAAAAATACTGTAAAACAATACACGGGTAAAAAAAGTAACAATTTTGCTGCTCCATTGAACTTCATTCGCCAGTATCATCTATCAAAACCGGTATCCGTGAACAAACACGAGCTACGAACGTTCTCTCCCGTTTTGACTCCGTCATAATTCAAGGTGGCTCCGACGTGCAGATATCGCCGTCGTTCGAGCGAAGTATAAATCGCCCGAAGTACAGTCGGCGCGTTGTAAATTCAGCTCGGTGGTGTACACTGCACCCGTACACGGGCAGTTAACAACTCGATGAAGCTCTTGCTAATAATATTCTAGCGAAATATTCTCTTCCGATGAAGGCGCGGCCGATGGGTTGCTCCTCGCGTTCGATCGATATGGCCACAACGAGCGCTATAAATTCGAAAGTTTAATACCGGCGTTGGCTGATAGTTCTCGGTGAGTGGAACCAACCCCGGCGTGGCGAATGTGCGGCGTGAACTGGATATCGCGTATCTTCTCTCCGCCGTGGAGAATCAGAGGTCACACCGGCGAGGAGTACAGTTTGTT